AAAAAAAAAAAAAAAAGATATCTTCAAAGCAAAAAGGGACCCAAAAGGCTACCTCAAACTGAGTGAGAGAAACAAGAAAGAAAAAACCTGAAAGGGGAGAAAAGACAAAACATACGGGACAAGTAAGTAGACCCAGAAACATACATTAGAAAACATTATAAAACAGACCTATCTTATTCAAACATTAATGAAAGAACGAAGCTCTGACACTAATAAAATATTAGTTATTATTCCACTACCTGCTAGTCTGTCTCTGCTGGCAACTTCAGCATATCTACTTGTTTGAGTGACAACCTCCTGAAATCTTTGTGATTTCACTCACTTTTTAAAGCCCCCCTCCCAGGGGTGAACTAATTTTATTCTTACAGAACCAGCATAAATAGTGGGTCAAGAAATCTTGTGTTTTGAAGATTGACTGAGAAAGAAAATTTCCAAAATTTTCTCCAAGCTGAAAAAAATGTAGAAGCCTTAGACCAAATGGTGGTCAATACCCAGAATATTCCCAAATAGATTAATATCTGTAATTGGAAATAATGGCAATTTCTAGGGTTACGTCAGGACAAAATGAGATCATACACTCTGAACACTGTCTGGCATCTAGTACACACACAATAAATATTAGCTCTTATTGTTAGCAAAATAGATTTAGTTTAAATGACCAACATCAGACGGCTCTTTAAAAAAGCAACTGAAGTATAAAACCAAGGATGTGTGGCCAATAATGTAAAGTTTGACTTGCCATGACCCCATGTCAGAAGACTAGAAGATTCAAAATGTAATCTTGGTTAAAAAAAATCCAGGGAGAATTATTACATCACATTTCCATTCCAGACAACTGACACTAGGTTATAATTAGTAAAGAATTGGACCATCAAAGTCTTAACCCATGAGGCAACATGAGTTCTCTCAAAGGAACATGCTTTCTTGTCTGTTACTGATAAATTCCTGATGTTTTTAAAGAGATGAGAAAGCAAGACCATAGGTAATTAGTTGATTTAGCCTACTGAGAATTTCCAAAGGTCTCGGACAAATTTTCACACAAGCCATTTTCAAAATCTGGTCATAGTGTAGTGAAGAGGCTGTTTTATCTTGTGTGGTGCTTAGAGAGAGGAAACAAAGGGTATAGACAAACTCTTCTCAGTGAACCTCTGACAGAATGGGAGTTAATTGGATATGGGTGAGGTGTTTGGGTTGTCACAGCCTTGGGAGTGCATAGGCATCTGGGTGTGAAGGTGTCCTGTGGATGCTAAATATCCTTTGTTTTGTGAAACTGTCTGCTATAATCAGGGATTGTCCAGGTCCAAATGCTGAAAGTGGTCTGGCCCAGGCTGCCCATTGCAATTCACTGAGGAAGATAAAATGATATTGCTCCTTTTTCAAACAAATCATTAGAAATTCTACCACTCAGATTGTGTCTTCTCTTAATGTGAACCTGTTTCCTCATCTGCAAAACCAGTAACAATGATACCTTCCCTAAAGCATTTCGAGGATGAAATATGACATATGCATCTAGCTTAGAATTCTTTCAGGCATATAGCTGTTGCTCCATAAGTGGAGGCAGTCTTTGTTACTATTAACTGGCATATATATATAAGAAATATTTCTTTTGTCTGAAATTCCCTTAACTCTAAATCTCCTTTGCAGTTTTTCCAGGTCTTGAGAATTACCTTCACAATCAGTTGGACTGATGCCTTAGACCCTTTCCTGGACAGCATTCCTTGGTTTTGGAATCCGGCTCTACTATGACATTTCTGCTCCTGTTACACTTCCTGATGTGCATGGCTCTGCTTTATGGACCTGTTACTTACATCTGGTGTGTCTGCCTGGGCTCACTGACCACTCCTAGATCTACTATTCTAGAAATACAGTTGGTATATCTGCCTTCTCAACCAGGTGTAATGGCCCCTCTCCCAGCCATTTGAGTAAACAGCAGGTAACCTTGAGCTAATAGGCATACTGGAATATCAAGTATAAAGGCTACTCAAGCTGCTGCAGCTATGCAGAAGGAATAACCTCAGATTTATCTTTATTTTGAAATTTTGTAAAGAACATCTGAACTCTTCTCAAAAGATCTTTTTGGAAGCCCAGAATATGAGCCGTATCTTCTCCAGTGATGGCCTTGAATCTTATGTCCTATTTCTAGCTTCCATTTTCATGGTGACAAAATTCAAAGAAAGAGGAAAAAAGTGATCTATAGTTTAGGAAAATATATTCCTCTCCACTGTGAGCAGCACAAGTGCTGCCACTCCAAGATGAGCTTTTTGGTGTGTCTTGTCTGGCTCCCAACGTCCAACTGAACACAGTTCTCTGGTTCTCTTTCTTTGGTCTTTAAAACACTGGCCATGGTTGCCTAAGATGACTTCATTTCTGCATGCAGTCGTTCCTTAGTGTTGGTGAGAGCTTGGTTCCAGGACCCTCCTCAGATGCTCAAGTCCCTGATACAAAACGGTGGAGTATTTGCGTGTGACTTAGACATATTGTCTCATACTTTAAATCATCTCTGAATTACTTATAATACCTAATACAATGTAATGCTATGCAAACAGTTGTTATACTGTATATTTTATATTTTTTGTATTGTTATTTTGTAGTATTTTTCCAGAATATTTTTGATCCGCTGTTGGTTGAATCAATGGCAGAGCCTGTGGATATGGAGGGCCAATGGTACTTGTACCTTTATTTTTTAAGCTTTTAAGTTCAGGGGTACATGGGCAGGTTTGTCATATAGGTAAACCTGTGTCATGGGAGTTTGTGGTACAGATTATTTTGTCACCCAGGTATTAAGCCTTGTACCGATTAGTTATTTTTTCTGATGCTTTCCCTCCTTTCACTCTCTGCCCTCAGATAGGACCCGGTGTGTGTTGTTCCCCTCTATGTGTCCATGTATAGACATCATTTAGCTACCACTTACAAGTGACAACATGCTGTATTTGGTTTTCTGTTTCTGAATTAGTTTGCTAAAGATAAACGCCTCTAGTTCCATCCATGTTCCTCCAAAGGACATGATCTTGTTCCTTTTTACGGTCGCATAGTATTCCTTGCAGTATATGTATCACATTTTCTTTATCCAGTATAACATTGATAGGCATTTAGGTTGATTCCATGTCTTTGTTATTGAGAATAGATTTGCACAGTTTTAAAAATTTATGGTAAGATACACATAACATAAATTGTATCCTTTTAACTACTTTTAAGTGTGAAATTCAATAGTATTAAGTATATTCTCATTGTTGTCCAACCATCACCACAATGTTTTGTTTTGTTAAGAATGGTACAGTGTGGCTGGGCGTGGTGGCTCAAGCCTGTGATCCTAGCACTTTGGGAGGCTGAGGCAGGAGGATCACGAGGTCAAGAGATCAAGACCATCCTGGCCAACACGTTGAAACCCCATCTCTCCTAAAAATACAAATATTTGCTGGGCGTGGTGGCCTGCGCCTGTAGTCCCAGCTACTTGGGAGGCTGAGGCAGGAGAATTGCTTGAACCTGGGATGCAGAGGTTGCAGCGAGCCGAGATTGTGCCATTGCACTCCAGCCTAGCTCCTGGCGNAAAAAAAAAAAAAAAAAAAAAAAAAAAAAAAAAAAAAAAAAAAAAAAAAAAAAAAAAAAAAAAAAAAAAAAAAAAGAATGGCACAGCTGACAGCACTCTGAAGTCTACTTACTACTACACAATTCTTTGCCACTCATTTTCTCTTTGCTCTTACCAAGCTACTATGAATGGGAAATAATTGGGAGGTCTACTCACAACTCACCAGGCAGCAATCAGTTAAGAAAAATAATCCTTCTTTTTAAAAGCTGAAGAGCATTCCATTGTGTACATATGCCACATTTTCTTTATCCGTTTATCCATTGAGGGACACTTTGATTCCATTTACGGTTATTGTGAGGAGTGCTGCAATGAACAAGGCAGTGAGACATCTCTTCAGCATACTGATGACATTCCTTTTACATGTATTCCCAGTAGTGGAATGGTTGGATCACATGGTAGTTCTAGTTTTAATTGTTTGAGGAACCTCCATACTGTTTTCCATGATGTCTGTACTAATTTACATTCCCACCAGCAGCAGGTGTGAAGATTCGGTTTTCTCTACATTCTCTCCAACATTTCTATTTTGTCTTTTTGATCAAGTCCATTCTAATAGGCATGATGTTACACATCATTTGGTTTTAATTTGTGTTTCTCTGATGATATGATTCATCTTTAAAAAAGAAGGAAATCCTGTCATTTGCAACAACATGAATGAACCTGGACAACATGATGTTGAGTGATAGAAGCCAGGTACAGAAAAACAAATACCTCACCATCTCACTTACCTGTGGAATCTAAAAAAGTTAAACTCAGAGGCAGAGAGTAGAATGGTGGTAGCCGGGGTCTGTGGAGGGAGGGCATAGAGGGTTGGGGAGAAGTTCATCAAAGTTTACAAAATTTCAGGTAGATAGGAAGAGTAAGTTCAAGAGATCTATTGCACATCACGGTGACTGTAGGTAGTAACAATGCATAATATTCTTGAAAATTGTTGCGAGAGTAGATCTTAAGTCTTATCACCACAAGAAAATAAGTATGTGAGGTAACACGTGTGTTAATTAGCTCCACCTAGCCCTTCCATAATGCATATATGTTTAAAACATGTGGCACATGACACATATATACAATTTTTATTTGTCAATTAAGGGAAACAAATATGACTGTCTCCTTCCAAAAAAGCAAAGCAGCAAACAAAAAAATATATAATCCAGCCATGCTGCTGCTTTTTCTAGATGTCTCAGGCCAAGCAGTACTGTCATCAAGTGATCAGTTCTGTTAGGCTTCTTTGTAGCATTTTTACCATTCAGCCTTTCCATTAAAGTACTCATTTCAACCCAAGAAACCCCTTGTTTCTTATTGATAGTCCTCTGCAGTGGAGAATGGTGGAGGAACCCAGCCATCCTCATCCTGCTCTGCGATGCTGCCTGGCACAAGGCTTTGTACAGACTGGACTGCATGGTGATTCCTGGAGATTCATGGAGAATTCAAAGCTAATTCTCACTACAGCCACCTGCCTTGAAAGGTGAGTTTCTGTGGCCTCTTCTACTGAGATGCTTTAGTATCTTCCTGGCTACTCTTTTCCTTAGGTTGGTGTGAGTGTGAGGATGGTCATCGAATATGATCCCTCAAAGTACCCCCCAGACACAGTGCGATAGCAACTTGGAATGGAGAGAATTAAAAATAGATCCAGGCTGTCACACAGCCAGTCGAATCCTGTACACTTGAGTCTTACTGAAACTAGGAACTCCTGAGATTTGCTCCTTGTTGAAGAAACTCCTCAGTCAGAAATGCTGGATGGTCATTACACCGCATCCAGCAGATTAAGAAGATGAAACTACTGGTCAGGGTTGATGTTGGTTATGGGTTTACAAGTTTCTGAAAAAGAGCCATGAGCATGGGTGCGGTTGATAAAGAGGTTTTGTTAAATCCCCCAGAATGTGCCAAATCATGTGTTTTCTTCTCCCGCTCCTCCAGAAATTACCATAAATGCAATAATCTGTTTTTGACACACTAGGTTGTATGACAGGACTGGGAACTAGTCTAAGAATCTCTTTCCTTGAATGCAAATCTCCTGCTGTTGATTTGTGGTTTATTTTCCTACACAGGGTGGCAGGGACCCCCCAGCTGGCTTCCACATGGGATTGAGGTCCACATGAGATTCTATCCCTGTCCTGGCCTGGAGCAGACACAGGAAGTATAGGGTGACTTCTGTTAGCCATGGATTTAGGTGTCGAAGGTGCCAGCCTAGACCTGTGGAGGGTCGCCTTGTCCTCCTGCTCCCATTAACTTCTACTTTCCACCCCCACAACAGCAGTCGAGGCAAAGGAAGATGACGAAAAAAAAGCATTTATGGTCACAGCCAAATATTAGTTTTCATTTTAAATGGTACAGGCATTGTGAGCAAGGACATTCGTTTTTATCAGATGGGCCAGGCCCTGTTGGACTGTGGCATACCTATCATTTATTCCTGGGTCTCTCAACCCAAGTGAGCAGTCAGCAAAGAAACCATTTGGAAGCCCCTCTGTTGCTGTTGTTTTAAATACCATAATTAGATTAACTAATGCTTATTCTGTTATTTCCTATGAACAATCCAGCTTTTTTCCTTTCAGGAAGGTGTGCCCTGTGGTCAGGACCAGACATGTTCCTGTGCTTTTTCTCTCCACATATTTTTCCCCTATGATGCAGAGGCAAAGGAGCTTTGGGTGGGTGTAGGCTGAATGCCCAGGAGGGTGCTGCCCAATGAGGTCAGTACATCATGTCAGAGACCCATGCCCGCCTAGAATTGCCCCCACCAGGGCCTTGTTGAGTCTTCTCCCTGCAGCTGGGAATTTTGTCCTGCCTTGATGTAGATGTGCATTAACTGAGTTTATCTGCACAGGAAGGGATATGAGCTCTGAGTTCATGGACTCTTCCTTTTCTCAGGTTCCTGGGAATGATTTAAGAGCTGGATTCTAAGCATCTTGTGGAGGCTGGGGGTGTCTAACCACTCACGTCTCAGGGATATGGGAGGGCCTAACAATCAAAGTGTGCTTGGGGCTAGACATAGAAGCTGGAAGAAGGCGGAGAACAAATGAACAGGGGCCTGGCCTTCTAAATATCTAAATAATGGGCTTGAAGGGCCATACAGACCACCCAGCCCCTGGGATAGACAAAGAATGGGCAGTGTCTGGAAGCAGAACTGGAAAGACCCCCCCACACACACATAGCCCACCCATGCGAGATTTTCAATCCTGGACTCCACACTGCCACTGACAAATATGTTTTTTTCTGGGAGACTCTCTGACCTCACCTATCCTTCTTCATGTATAAAGTAGAAATTTTGTAACTCATTTGTCAATATTTTCCTGGGATAATATAAACACAAATGAGATACAGAAATGCTTTGCAAGCAGATGAACTAAATAAGTATATCCAGAGTACTGGCAAACTGGACTGCTTCTTACGACCCACTTGCTTGCTAAGTCTTGGAAGAGAATTTGTGGGCAAACATCCTATTTTACATCTCCCATCTGGGGACAATATATCAAATGACTTACAACATTTTAATCATGTAACACAAGTCTACTGTTATGAGTATTAAAAGTGTGAAAGATTTAAAAATAAATGAAAATGACAGTGCCCTCACTTAACAGTGGATTATTCTCTGAAAAAGAAAGAACTCCAAACTCAATTATTATTACTGAATCATATTTATCAGTGTGTACTGTGTACTCAAGAAAGAGGCTGCACACACAAACAGATTAACAAACACAAAACCCCAGACCCCAAAACCAACACTATGGTTGAAAATGCCCAGAGCACATGTGACTTTTCAGGAGCCTCTGATGACCCTGAAGTCACAGACAAGGAACCCTGGTTTAGATGGTTTGCTACTCCAGACAGGAACAATGCTTTATTTGCTATTGTACCCCAAGTCCCAGCACAGTGCCAGGCATCTAAGAGATGTCACTGTGAGTTGGCAGAGCTAGACGCATTGTTATTTATGCTCTTTTAACACAAGCACAGATATGCAGGGCAACTTTGGACCAGGGACTCAGAGGGAAGATAACAATAGCTGAAGAGTTTGAGAGGCAAGACGAGCACAGCTAACCAAACCGCTGAGAAGTGACTCCACTTCTTAGCTAGCTGTGAAGGTATGGTGGACAGAGACAGTCCTAACACCCAGCTGAGAATTCAGGAAGACACCTGAGGACAAGATCTTGATACAGTCACTGGAACCATAGTACAATATGAAGTGTGACTGAGGGCAAGCCAGACCAGAGGCTAGTTACAGATGTTCCCAGCCTTTAGGGTAAGGAAATGAAGGGACCAGGAGTTGGGGAAATAATTGCTGGAGGCTCTGTCTTCGACTGTGCCTGAGACAGGAGGAGATCACTCAGCTTCTCTGAGGTTGTTCCGTGGAGTTTGCAAGTTTCTCAAGCACACTTTGGCCCACTTTTAGAGGTTCATAAATACAAGACAGCTCTTAGTTTCTATTGCTTCTACCTTATGCCAGGCATATGGTACTGAAAAAATTAAAGAGTAGACATTTTTGATGATAATCAGTTGTAAAAATAATCAATTGGTGTTATTAAAATGTTGTTTACCTGTATTCATCCTTCCATGTAGTATACTCTAACAGACATCATTTAACCTCAGCACTTAATCAGGAGCACTGAAACACTGCTGCTCTTGTGGGATATTATACTCCATTATTCTAAGACACCAAGGAGTACTTGGAAGAGAAAACTCAGATGAGCAGCTTCATAGTTGGGTAGGCTGGCTGCATCTCATGCAGATGCAGTTATAAGAACAAAACTCTTTTGAAGGGAAAATAGAAATGGTTCCCACATTAGCTGATAAATAGAAGATAATTAAGAGATTTTCTATAAATTGTTAAGTTTGCAGAATGTTAGAATCAAAAGGGATCTTGGAAATTACCACGTTGCCAGTTACTAATTTTAAATCGAGGAACCAGGTGTTGAGGGTAAATGGGTTGCTGAAGGCTGGGAAGTTAGAGGAAAGGAGTAGCATCTGTTTCCTCTCATCCCAATCAATGGTCCTTCCAGGGATCTCCCTGGCTGGAGGGAAGGGGTGGGCATAAGGACCAGGGGGAGAGATGTGTAGATTACTCCCTTCTTCCCAATGTTCACCATGCAGAAGTCATTTGTCCAATGGGGAAACTGTAGGGGGAAAAATTATTTTAAAATTCCCTAACAAATGTGACATCACAAGTCAGGTTTCTTCTCTAGACTTTCTAGGTGTTTCTAATGACAACCTCATTTATTAACTCTCATAGCATAGCATTCTTTTTGCTTGTTTTCTAAGGAAAATCAAGGTTTTGAAAGTAATATTTTTGAGATGGAAAAAGTTGGGAGATCCAAAACTGAGAAAAATGTGAACAAAATTATTTTAAAATTCTTTTTTCTTTCTAAATTGTATTATTTTTGATAGAATAAAGCAATTTTAAGCACTATTATAATATATTGATGAGATTTACATTGTGGCAAAATTAGCTTTTGATTTTATCACAAACAATGAATATTTCTGATAATATTTTTTGAGGAATTTTTAACCCCATTAAAACTTTCCTTACATCTCTACTTGAATGTCTGTAGTTTCTGGTTAAAAACTGATTAAATCTAAGGAAATGTTCTTCCTAGATGAAAGAAAGGGTTCAATGTGTCATGCTTCCTCTGTAAATGCTTTGGCTAATGGAGTACTCATGTTCAACCAGATGTGGGAAAATTCTATCCACAGGTCCTTGAATAACTAATGGACAATTACCATGGGAAGTCTTTTGATAGAAGGCAACTTGACATTTGTTAAATGTCAAACTTCCTTAGACCACAGATATCACGTATTTCTAAAGGGACTTGAATCCTTTGAAAGAAATCAGTTACATATGGTGCCAGTGTTAACACAGATTTTGGGCTGTCTTCATTCTTTAAGGAGGATGACAGCTAAAGTTTATGGAGTGCTTATCATGTACAAGTCACAGTTCTAATTATTTTATATGGAATAACAACATTATTATTGTCTCAATCTTACTGTTGAGGAAATTAAGGCACAACAAGTTAAGAACTTGGCTAAGATACACAGCTTATAAGGAAGTCTGGGTCCAGAGACTGTGCCCTTTTATGTTATACTGCCTTTTATGAGTAAAAATTTCCATACAGCATTGTCCCTAATAGGCCATGATTTTAGATTATTCCCTAGGGTTCTACTACGTGATGAAAATGTGGATCCTTAAATTAACTCACTATCTCTATTTGTCCCTTCTACATGAACAGTGATAGCAATAATGGCTATTATTATTATTATTTTGGAATTTTAATATAAGTTTTTACTTCCAGTGAAAATAGAACCTCATTAGTCTAGAGTTGCACTGCACAGTAGAATAGGCAGAAGTTACCTGTGGCTACATAAAATGAAATTAATTGCAATTAAGTACTGTCATAGTCTGTTTTCTGTTGCTTCTAACAGAATTACTGAAACTGGGTAATTTACAAAGAAAAATAATTTATCTCTTACAGATACATAAGCTGGTAAGTCCAAGGTCAAGGGGCTACATCTGGTGAGGGCCTTCTTGCTAGTGAGGACTCTCTGCAGAGTCTAGAGGCAGTTTAGGGCATCACATGATGAGGGGCTAAGCTTGCTAGCTTAGGTCTGTCTTCCTCTTGTTATAAAGCCACAAATCCCACTCCCATGCTCACCCACTAATCCATTAACATATTAACACATTCATTCAGGAACGAATTAGTCTATTCGTGAGGGCAGAGCCCCCATGATCCACTCACCTCTTAAAGGCCCTGCCTGTTAATACTGCCACATTGGAGATTAACTTTCAACATGAGTTTTGAAGGGGACAAACATTCAAACTACAGCAAGTACAATGTAAACAGTAGTTCCTTAGTCATACTGCTATGTTTTTAATGCTTGATAGCCACAGGTGGGTAGTGACTACCATAGATACAAAAAAGTTCAATCATTGTGGTTCTATTGCATAGCAATGTGTTGTAGCATTCTCAGTGTCTTTATATGTAACTAAACGCATCAATTACTAGATGCAGAATGCAGCCAGGAGATAGAACTTTATCTATTTGGAAAAAAAACCTCATATATTTATCTTTAAACTTGTGAGGTTGGAACTAACTAAAGTTGCATATTTGACCTTGAACCAAGCCAACATAAAGTGAGAAAATTACAAGTGAGAGGAGAAGGATTGGCTGGTGATCTGATGAATCAGTAAATTATATATGTAGTGAAGGGAGAATCTTTTCCATGGAGCTAAAGGGAGTGTGTTAAAAGGACTCTTGGCTCCCCCAAAAGTAGAGCAACTCACTTTTGACGTGTAGTAACATGGATGTATGTACCATTTAGAATGTCAGAATGAGCAGAATATTTTGCTATAAGAGCATGTTTTGGAAGATTTCTGAAAATGAAATGGGATTTTAGGAAACTTTTCAAGTGAAAGGAACTTCTTTTAGTCAGCTTTCTACAGAGAGACAGAAACTATAGAATATAGACAGCAATATATAAAAAGGGATTTATTAGAGGAATTAGCTTCTTTGATTATGGAAGCTGGGAAGCCTCAAGATAGGCTGTCTGCAAGTTAGAGAACCAGGAAAGTGGATAGCATGGCCTGGCCCAGGCGTAAAGGCTTCAGGACCAAGGAAGCCAATGGTGTAACCCTCCATCAGAAGCTGAAAGTCTGACAGCATGGTGGTGGGGAAATAGGCTTCACATGAGTCCTGGAGTCCAAAGGCCAGAAAACCTGGTGTTGTGATATCCAAGGACAGGGAAAGAAGAGTGTCTTGGCACTGGAAGAGAGATTAAATTTCCCGTTTCTTCATCTTTTTGTTCCATTCAGGCCTCCATCCAATGGGATGGCACCTGTCCACATTGAGGGCAGATCTTCCCACTCAGTCCACTGGCTCACACACCAATGGCTTCTGGAAACACCGTCATAGACACCTGGAACAGCCCAGTCATTCTAATCAATAGCACATATGCCTGGGTTTTCCTTTCAGCAGAAGAGGGACAGGCTCGGTGCCTATCCATTGACAATAGCTGATGCTTTACCAGCTATCTGGGTATCCTTTAATCTAGTCAGGTTGACCTCACAAATTGACCATCACAGTACAAAAGGGCTGGCTTATTTGGGATTGTGCAGGTCAGACTGGCTTTTAGATTTCTGGGTTGGGGACCAAAGATACCAGAATCTGCAGTCATGATTCACTCTCATGAGGGAAGAATGTTGGAGGGGAGGTATTATGCTTTCCCTTGTTCAAGAGGTAATTTTGACTCCAGGTGTGTTTGGCCATCAAAAGCCTGTCTTTCCACTATGGCATTTGTCCTCAGTACATATCCTACAAGTTTAGCAAATTTAATTGAGGAAATCACAAAAGATGTTGCCCAGAAGCGTGGCCTCAGGAAGATTAAAGAGTGGGGGCTACAGGAAGATGGGATGTGACAGGAGAGCCACTCTAGGGAAGAAGATTGGTCAAGGTGGAGGCAGAGGGATGGGGAGGAAGAGATACAACACATTTAATAGCTCTACTTTGGCCACAGTAGCCTTGAAGAAATGGTAATTAATACTTAAATTAGGTAGGAAGATAGACTACAGTACTGAGCACAAGAGATCATTTTTCCTATTACTGTCCAAAGCTGTTATCCTGTGAAGAAGCTGAGACTGACTGCATCAACAGTAACTTGCTGTCATTGTGAGGTTTCCATGGTCCTAACCTTGACTTCAAGGTTAAGCTCTGTTAGACACTAGCACTCCTGAAGGGCCAACCTCCTCTGAATTCTGATGCATTCATTCATGTCTCAATTAAGGAAAATGACATCATTTTAGAGAATTGGTACTTTCAAGGGGTCAGTACATAAACTTACAGTATTAAACATACTTGTCAAATGGCAAACCACACACTTTGTGGGCACAGAAATGAGCAATCTTTTCCTCTGAGACTCCTCTTTCCCTCCTCCTCCATAAATAACAGTCCTACATCAGCATTATTCAGTTTTCTTCTAGGCACCCTCTAGCTTCCTGAGAATGTAGAACATGGTGCTGTTTAGCATCTGTTGTCCTGTCTTTTCATCTCAAACAATCTGCTGTATTCTCAGAAAAGGGCTTCTCGGGAGGCAGGGAGTTAGGACTGATGTGGAGGTGATGCGAAGTGGAGGTGGAAGAGAAAATGAATCAGCAGAGCTGCTCGTGAAAGTTGACACAATGTGCGTATTAAGATTTTTGGGTCAAGTTTTTGTATATCTTTTGGTGCATTCTAGATATGCAATTTTAGAATAAATCCTAAAATGTGTTTTACAATAAAATTGCATATCTAGAATGCACCAAAAGATATACAAAAACTTGAGCCAAATAGATATGCAAAATAGAATAAAATACTATTTTACAGGAATAATTTTGAAAAGCAAAAATAAAAGCAATAATTGAGAGGTAAAACCTATTTCACCTAAAGGGCGCTGCCTCAATCTATCCTGGGACTGAGATCATTTGGGGCTGCAGAGAGAAAAGCCTACATAAAACAAATGTTTGCTGTCTTGTTTAATGTGTAAGGTCATAAAAATGAGTATCACCACCTTGAATTGAAGCAGAAATGTGAAGAGTCAGCTTCTCTGTGCCTTTTATCAAAGCCACACCTGCACTGTGAACCACGGTCAGCCTGTGGGTCCACCAATAATATCAGTATTGTGAATAGCTTCAGGTTAGTATGTCCAGAGATATTTTAGTGATGGAAGTGGAAATCTTTGACTCTGCAAACCCATTAGTGCTGGCAGGCATGTGTTGCATGTGGAACCAAGTGTCTCTGCACACAGACTAGCATGCCAGTCTGTAGAAAGGATGCTGGGAGTGGGCTTTTCCTCTACCCATTCCCACACAGTCATCAGTGTGTGATTATGCTTTTGGAATCACCATGGGTACACTGGGAACTCACTTGTTGCCAGACACTTCTTGTGGGCTTGCAATGGTTTCACCCTCCTGAAAAAACTGGGGCTTGCTTGGTCATAGTGAATACCAGACCCTTTCCATCCACCTACCTCTCCTTGAAGGAAGCTTCATGCTCAAAAGAGACAGTAGCTACTAAACATCTCTTCCTTTAAAGGGACGTGGAGTTACAAAAATAGGACTCTAAGCCTGCGTTTGCCTTTTCTCTACTTCCAGGATTGTTATATTACCATTGTAAAACAGGTTTCAGCATACAAAGCCCTGTCATGTACATTTTTCTTTTTTCTTTTTTTGTTTTTATTCTGGCAGGAAGATGTGAGTCATAATTGTGCTAGGATGCAACATCTGTATATGTAAAGATATGTCAAGGACGTAGACACTTAAATTGGCCAGTTGATTAATAGAGGCAAGGCAGTTAAGGGAGAAATATCACTTAGCAGCATCTAACTAGAAGGACAAATTCTCAGTCATCATTAAGTGCCCAGATGATACAAAGACAGCTTTTTCCTGGGAGAACTATGGCAGCAAAATAGTAGGATGAACACCCAGCTTATCTATACCAAACAAATCCCCCAAATTTATACTTCTTTGGAGATATGTCTCCTCCTCTTATTCATTTTACATAGTCAAGTAAAAATGTAGACGTGATTAAGAAATCAAGGACTCAGCTTCCAACAAATGCAATTAAGGCGACAGACGAAACTACACTTAATTATGAAGTTGGACGGTGACATGATCATTTCCTGTGTGCCTTCTATGGATCACTTGCCAATCAGAAAATGCCACATCTCATTCATCACAGAAACAAGGGGCTCTTTTGCTCAAAACTGAAATGTGTACTTTAAAAACCCGACAGTTCTCAGGTTCTGTGGTTCACCCCTAGTAATGTTGTAGAGTTACATGACTGCATTCACAACTGACATTCTTTGTAATGTGAAAGAAAAGAAAACTCATTGGCAGAGGATGCTGATTACAGCATACTGCCTAAAAAATTTTCCACAGCACTCAAATGCTTAAAGATTCATTCTCACAGTTTCCATAGAAAAACACTCTTTTAGAAGAAAAGTTAGTTTTCCTAAGTAAGCAGTATGAATATGAATTTAGAAGCGAACAAATTTTTAAAGTAAAATATTTTATGTGATATTGATACTTGAAATCGTTATATATCTTTTTAATTTATAAATATTACCAACTACCCAGCTCTGTGAAAGCTTACTATGTTGCCAGATTTGCATCAGAGTAATAAAATATTACAACCACATTTGAAGACCCCCATGCTCCCACCTTCCCAATCGTGGGTACCATGTGTACTTAAACATGTGTATGTTTATACATGTACGTGAATCACATTGAACATGTTTGTGTTTATTGACTATACAAATTTCCTTTTCTGTAATTTTTCTTTGTTCATTTATCTATTGAACTAGCACTTTCTTACTAATTTGTTATTAGGTTGGTGAAAAAGTAATCATTGTTTTTGCCAACATTTTCAATGGCAAAAACCTGATTACTTGTGCACCAATCTAATAAAAGTTATGGATATAATGCCTTTTTTTCATGATGTATATTATAAATGCCTTCTTCTAGGTTATGGATTCTTTTATAACTTTGTTAATATAGTATGTTTGTTTCAACACTACTTAATTTCAAGTAATTTATCAATCTTTTCTTGTGTTTGTGTATTTTGTATTTTGTTTAACAAAGTCTTCCCTACTCTAAAACTATTAAGATATTCTCCTAGGTTTTAATCTCAAAGTTTAAAATTTTATTTTCATTTCATATATGTGAAGAGACCCAATTTTATTTTCTTTTTTATTAAAATAATAATAATAATAATTCAGCACCGTTTATTAAATTCCCCATCCTCTTTTTATTTACTAAGTTATCTCCATATCAAATTTCCGCACATTTGTATTTCTAGGCTACTCTGATCTATTCATCTCTTTATAGCTGGTAGGATCCTCCTATCCTTTCTTTATTCTTCAAAGTTGTCTTCATTGTTCTTGTCCCTTTACGCCTCTGTATGAACTTTTAAATAGTATTATTGAACTCTACAAAAATCCACAGTGGCTTTTTGATTAAATTGCATTGAGTTTATACATGAATTAATGGGGAATATCACATTTAAATCATTGAGTATTCTTTTCTACTATATATCATCATTTGATTAGGTATTTTATTTCCTAAAATAATAGTTAAAAAAATTTTTCCATAAGGTCTTCAAAATGTTGTTAATTTGTTTTAGACACCTTATAGTCCTTTTTATTGTGAAAGAGATTATAAGCTTTTCTTCTATTACATTTTCCATTAGTTTGTATATAAAGATCTTAATGATATTTGATATTGATCATGTATTCACACAGCTTATGAGTTCTCTGTTAGTTCTAATAATTTAGATATAGAATAAATGTCTAAATAGTGATATTGTCTGTTGACTATTTTTTTTTCCAAATTTTCCTCCCTCCCTCCCTCCCTTCTTCCCTTTTTCCTTCCTTTCTTCCTTCCCTCCCTCCCTCCTTCCTTCCTTCCTTCCTTCCTTCCTTACTTCCTTCCTTCTATCCTGCCTTCCTTTTCTACTATGATATACAGCTATTGGTACACTTTTAAATAATTATAGAAGTGATCCTTAAATCGTGGGCAGATTGACTTAGTTCTTATTCATGAGATCCAGTGTTCGTTTAGGTTCTCAAGTTCCCAGGTGGTCAGCGACTTATCTTGATCTATCTTTTTTTGGAGGAGGGAGCTCAGCAGCCCTAACCCGGTTTTAAGTACTGCTGTGGTCTCCATCTTGCAAAGAACATTTTAAGCACTTTCCTTCATAAATGCAAAATGCCATGTCTAGCAATGTCTACTTCCTGGAGGAGACCAGGCCCAAACTTCAGCCATGCACACTGCTCATTTCTTGTTCAGCATCTTGGGAGATTTTTCTCTAGAGTACATACCTAGAAATGGAATTATCTCACTTTCTAAGATATCTTCAGCTTTACTAGATATTGCCATGGAGATGATTTTCTTGTGTTTCAATTTGCCTATGTCATTTTTACTTTTATTTGTGCTTTAAGCATTTTATCTCTTGTTGCTATTTTTCTGCCGTGAAAACTGAAGCAATATATGAACTTTTGGAGTGATTTTGGCCAGGAGTCATCACTTCTATTTTAAACATGACTTTCTTTGTATGTAAGGTAGGAATCAGAACAATTATATTTATGTGTCTGCAGAATAATCCCTCAACTATGAATTCAGTATGACTATAGATTCCAACACAAGGAAAATATCTGCCCAGTTGCCATATGGCTTACTTATCATTTGTTGAACATGATCTGTGCATATAAAACATTTTTTAAATGGGATCTGACCTATAATGGATACTTGTCCTCTCCAAAGCTTGTGATGAAAGGTGACCCCCAATGTTGGAGTCAGGGCCCAGTGGGAGCTGTTTGGGTCATGGGCATGGATCCCTCATGAATGGGTTGGTGCCCTCCCTGCAGTAATGAGTGAGTTCTTGCTCTATTAGTATACACAGAGCTGGTTGTTTAAAAAAGCATAGCACCTCCTCCCCATCTCTCTTGATCCTTCTTTCACCATGTGGCATGCCACTCCCCTTCCTCTTCCACCATGATTAACTACTTCTTGAAATCCTCACCAGAAGCAGATGTTGGCACGATGCTTTTTGTACAGCCTGCAATACCATGAGCCAAATTAACCTATTTTATTTATAAATTGCCCCTTCTCAGGTATTCTTTATAGAAACACAAAATGGAATAACTTAGGGCCAGTATAAGTTTATTGTTTTAAAAATTAGACATTCCTAAGGCACTTTCAAGTGTGTAAAGGCACACTTTAAGACAATGTAGTGAAGGGGTTGAGAGAAGAGCTTCCAGTCACACCACCGAGTTGGATTCCAGGTTCCACCAATTACTAGTTTATTAAGCCATGGTTTCCTTATTAATAAAATGGGACTCTGTTAGTATCTACCCTGAAGGGTTATTTTGAAGCTTAAGCAAAATAGTCTACATTTAAAACTTTTAGCACAATATTTGGCATATAAAAAACACTCAACAAAATTTAGCTATTATTTATTTAAGTTCATAAAGGTTGATAGATTATCTTTTATGTGACATAACCTGACAATAATCTGTAGCCTTTTATTTTCATTACTTTCAGCTTGTCCATTTCATAAAATTAATCACATATGCTTCCTGTAATTAGCATGTAGGATAGGGGTCTTCCATAATTTTTAGATAAAAATAGAAGCTACACTTTCAAATTAAAATGGAAAAGT